TATATATATATATATAGAGAGAGAGAGAGAGAGAGAGAGAGAGAGAGAGAGAGCAAGACTCCTATCAACTTAAGTTGATGTCCACCAAAGTTCCTAGCCACACATTTATTAATATAAAACACCTTTTTATATAATACAAGGATTCCTAGGCAACATGAGTGGTTAAAAACTTTGGTGGACACACTATTCCCTATCCACTTAAGTTGACACAAGTTTTCACCTATATATATATATATGAGAAAAATGGGTATGCTTGGTACCAAGCATAAATTTTGTGCTTGGTAGTGATGTGTCACATCCTCATCCACTCACTACCCATGTGAATGTGGTCCCCATATTTGAATGAGTGGAGGGGGATGTGACACATCACTACCAAGTATAACTTTTTGTGCTTGGTACCAAGCATACCCATATTGCTCTATATATATATACTAGTTTTTATGCACGTGCAATGCACGTGGTAAATTTTTTAATATTATCTTAAAATATAATTTTATTTATGGAAAGATTTGGTATAAATTTATTGAATGTAAACAATATAGCCAGCATATGAATTGAAGCTAAAAATTCACAATTAGCGACCTTCAATTTCTCTAATGTAAACAATATAGCCAGCATATGAATTGAAGCTAAAAATTCACAATTAGCGACCTTCAATTTCTCTCTGTTAGGAAGTGGCATCATTTGAGGTGAGTTAAAAAATTTGCCAGCCTGTAAGATGGGGAAAAGTATTACTCATTTGTTACACAAACAAATTGCATTCTAGATATATTTCCATTGTTCATATTCTAAAAAGACTAATGTTTTAAATGGAAATTCATAATTTTTGTCATTATCCTATTTTTTTCAAAATATTCACTTTATATTCTTGAACTCAAAAGCAAATGAAAACATACAAAAAGAGAATTGTATGCACACGTCAACTGATAAATAAAAATAAACAAATACCTTCTGTAGAACAAGCATACACTCCAATAGCTCATTACTATTGACCAGAGATTCTCAATAGTAATCTATTCGTCTCAATTCCTACTATCTCACATGCTTTATTTTCACCATCAACAAAGATCATCTGAAGACATATATTACACGTTACAAGTTTTTGCTCCTGACATCTCATAGTATCCCACGAAAGTATTAAAAAATATTTCTAAGATGCAAGTCAGTTGCGGCAACACTCCTAGGTACTACGTGGAAAGAGTATAGTCCTAAAAATGGCTTAACAACGGTTATACTTTTGCCCATAGATGGACAAGCATTTCCTGGTTCAAGCAGGTATTCCACACACCATAAGGCATATCTCACATGGTGTACCTTTGATATCAACTTTCTGACACAATAAATTAGATTGTCTTGCTCTTTACAAACGTGAAAGAGTTAAAATAAATCACAGGACAACTACCTATAACAATAATTTTTTTAGCATTTACAGAGCTAAGAGGCTAATCTCTAACAATATCTTTCTGACACTAACTATATATAGTTGCATTAATGGCCCCACAAAAAACTAAGTAACAGTTATAAAATACACAAATATTGCTGCTTTCATCATGAACATATAACATATCACAATGGCATATTGAAAAGACATTCGGCGATGGAAAACAAACAATAGATTGATGTGTGATTACAATACATGAAAATCAGACATTGTAACATTACTGCTGGCTAAATCTTCAAGGGACAATGGTTGCCGCAACCAGTCATCTGTTTTTCCCTCTTGAAATCCAGATTTCCTCTTCTCCATTATTCTTCTCATTGCTAGATTGCCAGCTTTGTTCACCAGTGCGTTCAAATGAACTCTTACAAAACCTGGAGTAGCCCTTGCTATCTTCATAAGATTGAATTCACCCTCAAGATTGCATTTTCGAGTAAGAACTGACAGGATCTCTAGACCCATATGATAGGAGAATTACATAATCCTGATGTTGTAAAAAGGTTTTCTCTGTAGGAATTAATCCTATGTAATTTATACATAAATATTCAAAACTGTAATGACTTTTCATAATTTTCTTAGTTAATTATGGGCCACATTTTATTGTTTCAACTATTAAATTGAAGAAATAAAAGCAAAATAAATGTACACACGGAACTTCCTCCCTTCTGGCCCAAAAAGTGAGATTACAACCAAACTCAATTAAGTTCTACATTTCTCCTAAAAAGGTGAACTGTAAAAAATGCTCCGTTTTATTGAGTAGGAAAACAATTAGCAAAAAGAGCACGAAAATACCCCATCTTATGCATAGTACATTAGCTTTCTGGAAATTTCTTAAATTTTAATAGGCTGCATATCGTGTGACCAAAAATGCTAGTTACAAACCAGCTTTCTGGAAATTTCTTAAATTTTAATAGGCTGCATATCGTGTGACCAAAAATGCTAGTTACAAACCAAGTTACTGTGAACGAATGTGAGTGGGGACCACGAGCCCACGTGCTGCACCTTGTTTCCGCGTGAACGAAGCCGAAAAAGAATTCTTATTGCGACCTGACTCTCTTATTGTGCTGCCGAAGTGCTGCCGAAATTTCCGCTGCGCGCTACAGTTACATGATAATGCTTTCTAAACATATTAGACCAATCATACCTAATATGTCGACTTTTCCATCATTTACTTATTCATCTCTGCATACAAAAACTTCTTTAAGAGTATATACACTAAAAGAAGCTGTCAGGCTCCCCTTATAGATTCCCCTTATCTGATTCGCAACTCTATAAATATTTTGAAGAATTGTTATTTCTTAGTTGTGGGGAAAACATCCTTGATACAAACTCAGAACTCCATTACCTGTCCCCATCTTTGATACAAACTCAGAACTCCCACCAGAATCGGTTTCCTCCTATGCCATGTAAGTTTCCTCGCCTTTTGAGTGTCTTTTGAAACCTACATTTAACAGTGGTCTACTATATCTTTTCCAGTGGCAAACTTCATTAGCTATACTCAAGGGGCTTGAAGGAAACACTGAAAACTTGAAGGATTCACACTGTTGTGTCAAAATGTTACATTTTTCTTTATCAGTCATCATGGAATCATGCAATATATGATATATGAAAACTCAATAACAGTGAAGGAGACATATTCCAGCTTTACAATTTAGAAAGAGAACTGATTTGATGGAGACGACGCAAAACAAGAAAACCTCAACATGCAGTGGAAAAGATAGCATTTTCTCTTTTTCTTTCCATCATACAAAATGAAAGCAATAATAGTAAAAGGAAGCAGCAAAGTGAGCCAAAACCATAAAACTATCAAATATCTATTCAAACCAATTTCTCATCATAGGGCATCAAAGGTATTATATGTATCATTACAGCATACTCCTTGTTTGCCCCCACAGTAACAGTCTGATACTGATACTATTTTTAGGCAAAGAGACAAGAAATATGTTCAAGGTGCTGAGTTCAACAAGGTTTTGGGATTTATTACCAAGTCAATAAACAATCTACAAGTAATCATCGATATAATACCTACAACGACTACTTATATGAATTAAAGAGACAAATGCAGATGTATAACAAACCTCCTCAGCAGCAATTTTCAAACCGTTCTGAAGTAAAAACTTACGCAAATAGTTCTTCGGCCGATAATAATTCCCCTGTGAATTCACACCATTACCTGTCCCCATCTTTGATACAAACTCAGAACTCCCACCAGAATCGGTTTCCTCCTCTTTCCCCTCAGTGTACCCACTAACAACCCCCTGCTTCCTTTGTTGTGGCTGTTGACTCCCTGACATC